CCCCTCCATAACTTCATTGTCATCGTTTTGCATTGGCACCATGCTTTTTCTCACGCCGGTGCTTATGTCCGAAGGTCGGTTACTGCACCGTGCCTTATTTGCAGTTGCCGCTGTACGCTAGAGAAAGCTAAGTGCAGGCCAGCAGATGACGTGTAGACGAAGCATGTAGAATTGCAATGAGTGATTAGGTGGAATAGGTGTCTCTCGTCTTCCGGGTTGAGATCTAAAAGACTCCGTAACCGTATAGTTGAAGACACTAAAGGTAATGGCAGCAAAGCGACAGCAGTGGCGTTCTCGTTGTGACTTTTTATCAGATCAAAATGCTTGAAAACGAGTGTTTGCACAGTTGGACTTTAAACTGTATGTTGACCATAGAGGTTCACTTCCTTTTCCTGTCCCTAAAAATAGACCTAATCCCTACCCTCCTTGCACATTCTCACTAACTTTGTATGCATTGTGAGGTTGATCATAATCAGTGAAGTTACCTTCGGTGTATTACACTGTACGATGATGATGACGAAACAATGGATTTTGACGGGGTGTTTGGCCATTTTTTGACAGCCAGTCTCGCCAGGTCGCAGCGCTGTTTGCAAACATCTGTGGTGTTTTGTACGGAGAATGCTTGCCAGGAGGTAAACCCAACATGCCCTCCAGTGCTTTCGCTGGTCGTCCACGACCGCTTATTTGGTGGGTCTAATCCCTTCATATTCACGATTGGTTGCGGGATGATAACTGTACCCCTATTCGCGACCCGGTGTCGTTCTTGGTAGTATGCAACTATGCTCTACCGAGGTTTGTCTGAATACATCGCTTTGATGGTTCACCGTAGCTCTTTCTAACGTATCTGATGTGATGGCAGAAAGAGTACTTACTAGTAAACCGTTCTCTTACTGCACAAATCACTGCTCTTGGTTATGCGTGGATTGCTTCGATGTTCGAATTTGACGGTCTGCTATCCATTTCATCTATCGTTCACTTGGGAGATGCGTACCGACTTCTGCTGGTGTAGTGAATTAAGTGACCTCACAAGCTCAAGCCACACAGCAAAATAAAACATGAAGAATTACCGTAACGTCTCAGTGAAGTTGGAAGATCGTCTTGTCAGTTTTGAATTTGGACATCAAGACATTGTGTTTAAGTGCAGAATACATCTTTTGAATTGTGGTTTTTGACCTTGGTTGGTCTTGTATTGATAAGGTGGCGTGAATGGTGAAATATCACGTTTTTGTTGTTTTTCTGCGGACAACTCTTCCCAATTAGTTTGCAATTATAGTGATGGTCGGAACACCTGCTGTGTCGGGCCACTCCGTTTTCGTTTTTTGTGATCAACGATAGGCTGCATTCCATAGTCACTATAATCCACTACTCGGTTATGGGGACCGGCAATCCAAGTTCTTGGAATTAAAACGTCGAGCAATCCAAGGACATAACAGGATAAATGTATCGTTATATCGAACACCAGCAAAGCTGCCTATCACCACGGTTAATTAGTGGTTGTGGGTTCCGAACCTCGGATTTGGGGGCCCATAGCACCTCACTGACTGCAACCGAAACCACATAGAGTTCCACTAGACACGAAGGATTGCATGGTGAGATAAATGAAAGTATTGTTTAGTTTGATGCAATGTATGATGCATCAGTCTTGGGATTCATCATGTTCTTTCCCTCTGTAGCTGGCTTATCAGTGAATATCGTCTACGTTTCACCTTAGTCGAAATTTCCAGAACTCATACGCCAAATATCGGTCAACCCGACTTATCAAATCCCGAGGCCTATTCGTCGTCTGATGTTTTTTCTAGTATTTCTGTTTAAGTTGCCAGCGCATACGAATGATCATTAGAGAGTTTTGTGCCCTTTTCACTAAGACAAACGGATTTTTTCCATCTCTATTCCCACTTTTCAGATCCGTTTCTATTGTCTGCTTGGTATGCAAACCACGGCGTGGAGCATTTATGCACCCTGCTCTCGGACACTGTCAGTGATCTGATGCGTCGAGCGACACGTCCCGATTCACCGGAATTGTTCCAGCCGCCACCGATCGCCAGTTTACCCAGCAGTTCTGTTTTGTTACCGATTATCGTTCGAATTCTTCGCTTCACAGCCACTTGGAGCGCACTCGTCCGTGACCAGTTGTATCATCAACCGAGTTTGGTTCTCAGTTTGGTTTATCGTGAGTTTGCTTTCGTACTTTGACCTCGTATGTGGATCAGAAAGTAGTCATGCCATCTGTTATGCTTTTGGTGCTTTCAGTTGGTATAGTTTCCTCTTTCGCATTTTGTTGACATTCTTATTTTTTACTGGACCTCAAATGGTTTTTTGCTCCTCACTAAAATGTGAATCACACCTCCAAATGGTCGATAAAAACCTAGGGTTTGTCCGCACAAAACACTTCCCTACCACTACTGTTTTCTCTATGTTTTCCATAAAATGTGCATTTGCAACATAGGCTCCTATGCCGAAGCTATTGATATATTCTGCCTTTCCGGAACATACATAAAATACTTCAATCAGTCTGGGCTGCTCGATCCACCAAACACTGTATTATTGACACTTATTTCAATCGACTAATTAACTGCGGTAGCCGCCGATCAGATCAAGGTCGGAGTAGATGTAAACTGTCGTCGAAAATTCCAGTTGATCGGATACCCGTCTGCAGCGGTCTTTTCTCCATTGTGGTAAGGGACCACTGAGCAGATTAGTAGGCAACAATCGAATATTTGTGCAAAGTGTTCAAACTTTATATCACTTCGGCACTGCATTGGAGTAGATTTCATATTTGAGCGATAAAGCGCGGGAGTACATTATCCTACTACCAGTCCAGAGGTTTTCGTTTTGAGAGATAACTATTTCTGCTTGTCAATTTTTTCCCGTTTCACTTCGTCGCATGTTTCATTTATGCAATGAAAAATGCTTCAGTTTGTTACGATATTTATAATTACATACCAATGCGGTTGCGAGTTAGAGTCTAGGACCCTGGAGAACAAAGCACTCCAGTGCCAGCTACTTGAGACATGTTGGGGTTAGGATCCACCGGTATGTACAAAACGCCGCGTAATCAAGGTCAAAATACGAATTTAGTGGAATGGGTTTACCCTTTATGTTAGAAGTACACTGGGTACTCCATTCGATCGAATGTCTTTTCAAAAGAGCATTTGAATAACACTTGGCATACCCAGAATGGCTTGAACAGTCATATGCTAAAATTGAATCATCCATATGATAAAGGATTTTTTTGCTTACCATTTCATTGCAGTGCATCACATTTAGTTCTGATACTCGAGCATTCACTCCTATATCGGCCACAGTGCTTTCTATTCCCATCTCCACTGTGAACTCAAATCCTACCTAACTTTCACGAACCTATTTTTATAAAACAGCAATCGCATCAAATCATGAGCCTTCTTACCTAGTGTAGGTATCATTTTACCGCGATTTGTTCAGCACACAATCTGGACTCAGGCAGCTGTGAAATATAATAAGACAACAGTCACCTTTAACAGTATTATGAATGGTTTCCAATGTTTGATACTGTTTGTAATTCTTAGTCCGTTGTTCTTGTATCATTCTTCACCCTCTTCCCAACCGTCAGTGCTCGTGGCTCACCCAGACACAGGTGGGTTGCATGGTCTTGTTGTCGATCTTGTGACCCTACTGGTCTTCTCGTCCGTCATCCANCGTCATCCAGTCTTCTGAAGAGTGAGTTTGATTAAACCACTGTTGAGGGCGCCGCTTATCCATTGTTAGCTTCTCTCAAATTATTTACCTTGTGTTTGTTGTGGATTACTGTTCACAAGAGGTATATGGAATCACTTGAGAATGGTGGGAACAGCTTACACTGTCATCTTAAACTATGGGGAAAAAGAACTACTGATATCATTGTTTCCTCCAATCAGAACTCCATAAAAAATGTGACATTGTTCTTGAAAAGAAGAAATTCAGGTACCTATTTTTCTCCTTAAATCCGAACCCCTCTCTCCACTTTTTCATCTAGTATTGACTTCACCTTATTGTTGATATTACGGCTATTAATAAAACGAAGCCCCGTTCTGTCAAGTAACTCCTAGGATGAATCTTTTGCATAATATAACAATCTTTTGAAGCAATATCCACATTAATCCAACTTTTCCTATCGCTTTCTCAGATCTCCTGTTTGTCTCCCGTTTGGTGTGACGAACGGTTATCGATTACCGTTCATCTGTCCTGCCTATTCGTTCCGTGTGTTATGGAAAGAACACGAACCCGAGAACGCCTTCAGACCGCTCTCTGAAATCCTCACCCATCCAGATGAGAGTCTGGACGCAAATTCTCTCCTACTAGAAACCCTAGTGCGTCGAAGTATTCGATGCTCATGGTCCATTGTCTGGCACGGTTCGAGTGTTTCGCTTGCGTGTCACTGTTTGGCCATGTTGGGTGCCCTACCAGACGCACAGAAGATCGATCCCATCATTTTAGATCGGAATTTCAAATGGGCTCGTGAATATTCCCCGTGAGGAGACGTTTCCTCACCCTCTCATCTTCCCGTTGTGAAATTATCTTTTCTTTTATTCAGTTATTTTTTTCGATTGCGTCTCATTCTTACCAACCAGATTTACTTGTTGTATTTGGGACATAAACGTCCAGCTTGCGAATTTTGTTTCCTTGGCACAAAAGCATTACAATTTAGCATGTAGAGCTTATAATTTTTTATTTCAAATTTTTCTTAGCTTTGAAGCTTTGTAATTTATCGTATGCTATCACGAAGAGAAACAAATTGCACCCTTAAAATAAAGCATATTCATAAGTTCATCCGGGTGGTGTTGTGAATCGCTGACTATTAATGTAAACTAGTATCGGCGATTGTTATCGCTGTCTTTTTTAACCGAAGTTCGCGCCTCCCTTATCAAGATTCCATTTTCCCACCATTTGTAATGTATCGTGTCTCGCTTGATATGTTTCCCAAAAGCCTCTATGATGCCTTTTTTACCTTTTGATCTTGGAACATCGCGGCATTAGGTTTTTATATGAAATTAAATTTTCATATAATATGTAGTGTAGCCATCCCATCCAGATCGCAGAAACAGTCATCTTCTCAAAGGTAAAATCTCAATTTCAATTTTGTGAGGTGTTATACATGAATGCGGATACACACGCACACGCACACTCCGTCCCACGACCATACCCCTTTTGTATTCAAACGATAACTACAACGAAAATAGGGGTGAAATATTTTAAGGTCAGACATTTCTCTTCCGATATCACACTATACTTCAAGTGTGATTCGTTTTTGTAACCAAAAGATACTCACTTAAAGAAGTTTTCATTAGTTAATTTTAGTCGGTATTGATTTTCACTTTCAGCTCACATTTTGATTATTGCGTCATCAAATACTGTCCAGCAACGGGGTTCCGTTCGATAAATTCCAAATTTTATACAACCGAGGTCTCAATCATCGCTAATCCATCTTATTCGCTTGATTTTTCCCTTTTTTCCACAGTCCTTCTAGTCTGGTCGCTCTTTCTACCTCAGATCTTGCTCTGATTTTGCTAAGTCATCCTGTGTCAAGTTGCCTGCTCAGTTTAGCCGCTGTACAACAGGCCAGTAGCCATGCTACTCTGGTTCAGGCGCTAAGCATGTTTCTACGCTCTGTTCACTCACACCGGCTGCAAGAAGACACACGTTTGATTCCGTCCGAGCCCGTCGAATCGGGCCAACGTTGGCCAGACTCAATGTGCTGGTGGCACCGAGCTCAGCTAGATCGGTTCCTGTGCACACTGCCTGCGTGTTCGGCTGATTTCCATCTCCTCTCCTCCTTGCTGGACACAATAGATGAAGCTGCATTACGTACTACTGTTCCCAGTGTCCTCGTTCTCGGACCTGATGTTCCGGTGGGTTGTCGCAACACATTCCGTAACCTATTATTTTGCACAATAGAATTTATTTTTAATCCTATTCTCTGATAACGATCTGTGTCAATCCATCTATTCACTCCCGTGCGCAAACAGCTTTTCCAATGGTTATTATCAGCCTTGGTGAATTCCAACGGTCCTTTGGCCTACTGTTTACTACAACCGGGTGCCGGTGTTGGGGAGACCGATAGTCGACGTTTGGTTTCGGCCAAACGTCGACTCATCTATCATCAACTGCCCCGTCTCCTGTCCACCTTGACAGCACGACTGGGAGCTGCTCAGTTCACGAAGCTTGCTCGAGACGGTTTGACCGAGAGCCAACACAGGTATGTTGTCGCGTCCTTGATCATGTTGTTCGCCCATTTTCGTCTCTTTAACATTTATTTTGCCTATCTTCGTTTTGTAGATAGTTTTCCCATCAACGGTTCATGGTCACCACGTATTATGTGAGGATTTTCTTCAACTTATTCCGTATAGCTTCAACATGGGGAGATATGTTACATTTTATACAGATCTAAAACCACCTGGTTATCACGCATGCACCGTTCACATAGGGCAGACAACCGACGGACTATAATAGCAGCGAGGAGTTTAGAGATTATGTTAATTGGACTAATTCCTCTGTGGTTTTCACAAGAGGATCTGTCACATTTTTCTTGTAAGTCGGTACGATGACCGATTCATACCATTCCGTTGGAACCTATTCCCTCCCACTGTTCTCAGGAGTTCCGTTAACTCCATAAGCAGGACTGACCCTCCATCCTTAGAAACCGATGGGGGCAGCCCACCTGGGCCGGAGGCCTTATACTTTTTGAGGTAAATTATTTCCCGGGTAATCTCCATTTCAAGTGGAGGACTGATATCTACCGGTAGTATTTGCTAAGATGAAACAGGTAGTGGTATATTTTGTGTCGACAGGAGCCGGCTGAACTGGGCCTTAAAATGTTCTACCTGTTGTTCAACACGGTGTTGCTGAATGTGAATCAGTGTCGTCAGACTCTTTTATTACCTCACGTGGTTTCATTGAGCTTGCACTCCTAATTAAACGAAAAAGATAGCGACTATTACCAATAACCGCAGTCTCCTCCATCTCTGTACACCTCCTTTTCCACCATTTCGCAGGCTCTTGATGACCTGGGGTTAAACGGATTTGGGCTTATTGCCGCATTTGGCATGAGAAGAAATGGCTTTGCGAGCGTCTAGCAGGGCAACCGAAGTCGGGAGATCCATCGTTTTTTCTTTGATCGTTCATCAGGATTCGCCGTTGTTTTGATCGATAATTTTATCGGTTCCTTGATTTCCACCCAGTGTTCATTGAGTCCTTCGGCTGATGGTTGAGCTGAAAGGCGATCAGATAGTTCAGCTTCGAAGGGCGATTTGCAACCATTTCTGGCACTGTATTGTGGGCATTCGTTTTTGGTTGCTTTTCTGTGTTTGTTTACCAGACGTACGGAGAATCTGGCTCCTAGCAGAGTATGGTCCCTGTCCACAGGTGTCGACCAGTAAGAGCCGCAGTCTTGGATGGACCTTCGCAGTCGGTGGCTGATGGCGATATGGTCGATTTGAGTCCAACGCTTTGAAGCGGTTGGCGGTCTCCANTAAACGAAAAAGGTTGCGATTATTACCAATAGCCGTAGCCTTCTCCATCTCTCTACATTTCCCTACCCATCACTTGTAGCGATCATTCCTCAGACTCTCGGTGGGCTGGCGTTTTCGCGCTTTGTCGTATTTTGAAGGCGAAGGAATGGCTTTGGGAGCATCCAGCAAGGCAACCTAGGTCGGGGAGATTCATCGTTTTTTATTCGATCGTGAAACAGAATTTGCCGTTGTTTTTATCGACGTTTGGATCGCTTCCTTGATTGTTATCCAGTGTTCACTGAGTCCTCTGGCTGGTGGTTGATCTGATAGTTCCACTTCGAAGGCCGATTTGCAACCGTCGCTGATACTGAATTGTGGGCATCCATTTTCGGTGGATTTTCTGCGGTTGTTTATCAGACGTAGGGAGAATCTCGCTCGTAGCAGAGCATGGTCCGTGTCCACAGGTGTTGACCAGTAGGAGCGGCAATCTTCAATGGATCTACGCCAATGGTGTCGGATGTCTATGTGGTCGATTTGAGTCCAACGCTTTGAAGCGGTTGGCGGTCTCCATGTAAGGCGGTTTCGTTTCTTGTGCGAGAAGTTGGTGCTTGACAAAAACGGTCCGTGGTCAGCGCAAAGTTGAAGTAGGCGTTCTCCGTTGCCAGTCCGGTTGGCTGGGATTGTATGTGAACCACCAAGTAGCCTTTCT